TCGGAAATGATGATTTGAATATTTGATGGAGTACCATTTTCTTGGACTGATCGAGCTTGTTTACACCGTATCCCCTGTAAACACCGAGCTTCAGAGCTTGGTTTCCCTCTTTGACAGCTCTCTTCCTCAAAGTAGAAAGCAAATGCGTCCACTGAGTATCTACTTCTGTTTCATTTGTCTTGCTTTCAGACATCTCCCCGTCCTCTGATGACAAATCCACAGCATCATCTGCCAAGTCCTCCTTCGACTGTTGATTGCTTTTGTCGGCATCTTCATTATCATTTTTTTCAGCAAAATTCTCCTTCGATTGTTGATTGCTTTCATTGGCGTCTTCATTATCATTTTTCCGACCATCACCACCGTTAGAATTGGAACTTGAGTTTCCCCACCATCTATGAGTAACATTTGATAAGCCGTTTGATGGAAATCCGTATTTGAATTCATCCAAGCTGTCTAAATTCCATTTCGTCATATTTGAGCTGTGCAAATTTTGAGAAATTTCAGTTCTGAATTTTGGCATTTCATGCTGAGCGCCAGTACTTTTGTTCTGGAGCTGGGAGACTCTGCATGCAGGGGCAACAAATAAAAAAGAAAGAGAACGTGAGAAAAATTTGAGAGAATTGAGAAAAATTTGAGAGAAGTGAGAAAAACATACAATAAAGTCATCATAAAACCAAAATAATGAAGACAAATAACCTTGTTGTACCTCACTCTAGTCTTCAAGCACGACCTCATTTCTCGGACAATATAATGTAAGTAAATTTACTAAGGTAATATATAAGGAGTCCACAATCACTAAAGTGTCTGCACCCTAAAAAGGCCAATTTTATTTAAGTTTCCATGTTTTTAAGCCATTTGAAACCAATGTTGTAACAGAAGATTGTGGATTGACAAGAACTGCCGTTAAACATTTCTGCTGCATGAAGCTTCATAAAATGTTTTTAAAGAGCTGTCTAGCGTGAGACACAGCTTTTGCAGTAACCATATGCAAGTTGTATGAGACCTAAATAAGCCAGTAAAAATATGCACGAGGTACACAATTAAGAAATTATAAGAATTCATGGAACTTCCAGTAAGATTTCAAAGACAATTTCTGCCTGTCCATTACTTTTTGCCCTTTTGTCAGAAAAGCACACGTTTCAGAAAACTAATGATGGTTAAGTGATTTGAAATAATATTTTTAGACACGTGAT